TCCCCTGAGTCATTTCCCCTTCCTTAAATGTTGTCTGAAACTAAAATAAATAAATAAAGCAACTTCCTTTTCACTCCTCCTTGTCCTTTCCTTATTACTTCATCATCCTTTAATTCTACTTCAACCACTGTTGTAATGCAATCCAGCTGGGCACACTTTTCTTTACTGCTTTCAATGTTATGTAACGTTGCTGTGCATTGTGAATCGTGCAGTGTTTCACCTCAGAGGTGACTGCATTTCACTGGTGAGCAGGCACTGGGGAAAAAGGAAAAGGGCTGGGAGTTCTTTCCCTGCTGGTCCAAACACTGACATCAAATATACTTTCCTTTTTTTTTTAATCGGGAAAATACTGTGCACATTGCATGGGTGAACTAATGTCTCAAAAAGGATTCCCTCACCATTGCTCATTAGTTACTGGGTTAGTTAGAATAACAGTGGGTGTCATTTCAGGGAAGGTGGGAGGAGATTTAATGATGAAGACATGTCTTGCCTGTTGATACAATTAGATTTGGATCTAGTCAAACTCTTCTGGCAGTGAGTTCCAGAAGGAGTGCACTGCAGCCAACAAAATTCCCTTCTCTTTGCAGCTATCTTGATACATCTCCCCCAATTGCAAAGTGCTTTATGATCCCCAATAATGGACAAAGTAAATTATTGTCTTGATTCTGAAAAGTGCAAAATAAGCACAGCTATGTGGGATCATTTGGTTCTACCTACATCTTCATGCTGCTGGATTCCCAGCTTCTTTTAGGGTCTAATCTTGCAAGGTTCTAAGTGTTTCTTATGAGGTGCTCAGCACTTTTCATTCCCACACAAGACAGTAGAAGTTGTGTCTGGGTGCTGCAATAATTACTTTGGCCCTGATTTAGTAAAGCACTTAAGCATATGCCAGAGACTCTCAAACTGCAATGCATGGGCTGAAGAGCTTTTCAGAATTGGCATCTTTGTGCTGCAAGTGCCCCTGCATGAGGATTCTGCACCTGATGCCAAATAGTGTTGGCTGCACAAGGCAAAAGTCTTGGTATGAAATGAACCAGATCTGTGCTGTGTTTTATTTCAGGATTCGGTGGTGAAGCAGTTCTGCCTTCATGAAGAAACAAGACACAGTGACTAAAGTTCTATTTATTGGCCCTATTTAAAAATCAGTGGAGAGTTCGCTGGAGCGGAAGTGGCATGTCTGTGTTTAGAGGTTGTCATATAATTGCTTCACTAAAACATGCATCTCAGTGAATAAGATTTGATGTCCTAAAGTGGAAGAAGTTACAGGAAAAAGATGCTTTCTGCTGGAGACTTTATTTACCAACAGAATTGCTCAAGGACGCCTGGTTGAATGCACTCATGAAGAGAAGGAAAAAAATGGACCTTGGCTTTCCAGCTTTAGTAGGGGCTGGGAAATGAAGTAACTACAACCAAACACAAATTTGGATCCATCAGATGTACTCTGAGGAACTAACTGTGAAAGACGTCAACTCCAAGGAGACCTGAGTTCGGGGATTTATTAAATTGGGGGTGGGGGGGCTATTTAACAAAATATTTTTCATTTTAAATTATATATTTATTTTAGATATACTGTGTATAGTATTTATTTAGGGTATGATCCTGCAGCCCTGAAATCAGTGGGCATTTTGCTAGAGTTAACAGTGGATTGGCCCTTAACTTTTGTAAGTGCAATGTAATGGTCTAATAAATAACACTTTGTTACAAACTCTTAGACTGTTAATACTGACTGGAAAAGCAGCTAGACCATCTTAATATGACAATTTGTATCAATGTGCCCTTGCTAACCTATTGTCCGTGTATGTTTCATGTGGTATTATAATGGCAAAGATACAGACAGTAGGAGGCAAATCTTATATGTGGATGTGAAGCATAAGCTACTAATACCAGTGAAGATATTTCACATTTGTCTTAAAATAAATTAGACCAGAGTTTGATCCCATGGGCCCCGTCCTGGTCCCATAGAATTGAACAGTAAAATTCCAATAGACTTCCAGCTTGGAGCTGTAATATGCCCAAAATTGTACTACCCGATCTGCACCGCAGACCCTGATTCTCAGCATTCAGACATGGACCAGCAATGCAGCCCCTCTCCCAACCCTGTGGGGTGAGCAAGATGGTGCTGAGAGCTGATCAGAGAACATCATCATCAGAGGATAGTCTAAAAGATTTGAAAATGGCTGCCTGCCTCCTCTGTTCCAATTGCCAAGAAACAGCGTAGCAGAATCTCATGTACTGGGAGATAGTCAGTATGCTGTGAGTAAATGCAGGTTCACTCAGTTCTGAAGTTGGTCCCTTCTATCCAAACACTTTTATTATTCAAAAACTGTGCTGGTACTTACTTCAGACCATGCAATGAAAAATAAAATGGCGTGGGGCAGGGGCTTGTTTGATTAAAACAGAAGTCAACACCTGAAATCAAAAAGTTCAGGAGTCAAAAATTAAGGGGAGGACTAGCCATCAATATGTTCTTCAGGACCCCCCACTACAACTCCAAAGTTTTTTGGTATTCCTGAGGAGGCCAAGGCTTCTCTCCCACTCACAGCAGGCTGGATTTCCTAGGCTTGTCAGATTCCTGAGGCCCTAGTGGGCATGCATTCTTCCAGACCAGTCTTCCAGAACTGGTTCAGACTTTACAACGGGTGGGCAATTATTTTGGGCAGAGGGCCACTTACTGAGTTTTGGCAAGCCATTGAAGGCTGCATGACAGGCAGCCCAGGGCAGATGAATATTAATTTTCTAAATTTTTTAGGGGCCCCATGGGTTGGATAGAATGGCCTGGCGGGTCGCATATGGCCCCCGGGCTGCATTTTGCCCACCCCTGCTTACAATAAAACAACCCAAACTTGCTTGTGTTTCCTCTTGAAGCTTACTCTGGGGAGCTGCCTGAAAGCAAAATGAGCTAATGACTGTAACAGAGTCAAAGCAGAGAAAGCTGGCTGTTTCCCTACAGGAAATATACTTTTCTCTAGACTGTTTTGCTGCTAAAGTTTATCAACCATACCTTTCATGCTGGTGTGCTAAGCTAGCCAACCCATTTCCACAAAGTTGGTGCTCAGCATGGTATTTAGCTTGGAGCAACATTGTTCTTCAAGTGTTTCTAGTACCTGATGCTTACTTAAATGCCAGTGTCATGTCATTTTAAAATGTTGCAAGTATGACACAATAATTACAATTTGTAATGAATCTCAAGATAGCAGCCTCTAAAAGGTCAGGAACCGAGTGAGAAAAAATAAAATTATGAAAAAAGATGAAATAATATTAAGGTTCATGATCTCTATTTGGCAAGTGTAGATAGATATAGGAGGCTAATAGTACTGGAAAGGTATGGATCCCAGATTTTAAAGGAATAGCTTTCTCAAATCCTAGACCTCAGAAATGTCACTAGTACTCCATTTAAGAGGCCATTTTTGGCACTGATGTGTCAAACCAGGGACCAGCATAATATTTATATCTTTCTTGGGTGAATAACATGTTCAGGTGTTTATTCAGTGAATAGAACATATGCAAGTAGAAATGGGCACCCAAACCTAGTAATCTTGAAGATGAAGCCAACAGAGAGACTTCTCACTCTGACTGAAAGAAGGCAGAAGGGTGGCATCTAAAGACAAGTTGTTGACTGTGTGTGGTGCTATCCAAAGTAGAGATTAGGTAGCTGTGTTAAAGCATCTTTGTACCACCCTGCCCTGCCTTCTGCCTGACTTCAGAGAAACATAGTTAACTACCTCTCTCTGACTGACAGAGGACATGTGAGAAGCAATTAAGTTAAGTATGCATTCTTTCTCAGCCTTCCCAGGTTGCAGAATTACTCCAAATAGTTCCTCAAAGAAAGAACAACAGATTTTTTTAATTCATAAATGATTAGAGGCATGGGAGGCAAAATTTATGAGGAAAAGATGAAAGGTTATTTAGTCTGGAGAAGAGATGATTGATGGGTGATTTTATAACAGTCTTGAAATACCTGAAGAGCAGTTAGAGAGAGGATGGGGATGGGCTTTTTTCTATGGCTGTAGGGGACAGGTCTAGGAGCAATGGCTTCAAACTGCAGGAGAGGACATTTAGGTTGGAGATTAGGAGGAACTTTCTGACTATCAGAGTGGTCTACAACTGGAACAAGCTATTGGAATTCCCTGGAAATTTTTAAGAACAAGTTGGACTGACACTTGTCTGGGATGATCCTGCCTTGAGCATGGGGGCTGAACTAGATGACCTTGTGTGAGGTCCCTTCCAGTCATACTTTTGTAGGCTTGTATGAATTCCTATAATTCACAAGCTGCTCTGACTCTACTACTTCTCCAGCTCTTGCATTTGTGGGGTTCAGACCTCTAGTTCCTGTTTACATTCTTTAATTGCTGCTTTAATGATTTCTCAGCATACCACTCCAGCACCAGCACCTTTTCTTACGTGTTAGCAGCATTTTTGCAACCACTGTAACTGTTTAAAGCTGCTGAGAGTGAGAGTGAGGTTTAACCATCTGCTTTCCCCGCTTTCTGCCAGACAAATGCTTGTCTGTCTATATCCATGAACACTCCTTGGTTGGCAGGCAGGGGAAATCACTCAGACAGCTAATAGGATGTCTTTCTGCAGACATCTGAAATGTTTATGTTAATTTTTGCTGTGGGTGGGAAACAGTAATGAATGGCTCAGAAACTTAACTTAGTAATGGACTCTGAAACCTTCTCAAACCCAGCCCAGGCTGACTGAAGCCAAAAGTTATTGCTAACTATGGGCCTGTACCCTAGTGATGGCTACAACCTACTTGGTAGTGGACTAGTATCCACTTGACAAAAACTCACAGTGCTAGTGACAGTCTGTGCATAGTGATTAAAGAGTGTATGAACACAAATGAACTGAACTAATCTGTCACTTCTGTGTGCACCCAAGCATATTGTCATTGCGACAGGAGTCGGCCACTGCCAGTGAAGTGGATAACCAGGGAAAACTACCAAGGGAACTTCAGTCTCCAGATGTGTCAGTCCAGTGCCTATCAGAATGAGTCATTCAAAGTTTAAAACATGGGTGAAATTGCTTAACCGTAACTGTGTTTTCTCTCATTCTCTTTTGCTACCAGGGCTAGATTGGAATAGGGATTTGAGTGGGATAGACCCATTTAAACCTAAAGCATCCCTAGCTCTAGGTGTGACAATAGGACTCCCCAATATGGTTAGTTAAAATAGAACGCTTTTTTGTAGGAGATCACAAGCTTTATTAACCTAGAGGCATAATGTGGTAAGGGGACCCATCCAAAGATTCAGCACTTCACAGATGGGTGTGCATGGGTTGTTCCCCAGAGACTGGCTGTGTGGGTGTAGGATACAGACAGTCAACAGAGTCCAAGTCATGGTTTCCATGTTTCTTCCAGCCCAAATTTAGTAGCTGCTGTTCACACGTGTCTGGGATGTCTGATTCTGAGGCAAAGTGAGAGCTTCATTTCTGCTCTGAGTTCATCTTCAACCCTGTGAAGGCTCAGACCATAAATATAATCTTCTGTGTAGACAGTTACCTGGTGCCAAGATAAAATGCTTTCTGGCTTCAAAACAAAAGCAACTGCGAAGAGTTAATTTGTCCCCCCTGCCCCCCTCCCCCCCCAGTATGGGGGAGTGTTGCCCAGGGTACTGTTTTTATAGTATGACAAAATGTTGCCCTACGATTAGAGACAGGTGTCAGAGTTGCTTTGTCCTACAATTAGAAATGGTGCCAAAGTTTAAATCAATCACTACGAAAATTGTTTAGCAAGTGGAACCAGATATGAAAAGTGTGGCTTTTCTGGAGTGGGGTTTTGTAACTTTCATTTTATTTGGCATTTGAGAAGAATTATGGAACTTCAGATCTGACTGAGTGCAAGAATGGGTAGGCCTTGTGAACAGGCATGACAGAGCTTCCTGCCTTGGTGAAGGAGAAGTAGAATAAGCAACCTGGCAAAGAGAAGGGTGAAAACTTCATACACCCAGACTATCCTTTGGAAAGGACCCAGTGGTTGAAAAAAGTCAACAGCAACAGCTCCCTCTGAACTGATCTGATCCAGGCTGTGTTAACAGTTAATCCATGTAAGCAATGATTAAATTTCTGGGCTTGTTTGTGATGTGCCTGGTATTAGAAACAAACTAGTTCAATTCTCTGTTACTGTAAGACAAATAGCTTCTATGCAAGGAGGTGTCCAGCCCAGAAGAAGACAGTATAAGGTCTTCACGTCAATCAACTTTGCCATGGCTAGAGTCAGCAATCAACTCTGCAGCCATTGTAAGCCCTTAGAACCACATGCAGTCAGAGTTTACATGATTGCAATCTTTAGGCTCTTACTCCAAGGGTTGAACAAGTTCTCATAGAGCTCCACATTGTGGCAGGCAGAAAGGTGATTTAAAGCCACCTTTGCCCTCTCTTCTCTCTGTTTCTGCCCTTAGCATAGCATTTGTCCAGCAGGCTGGCTGCTTTCTCTGGGGCAGAATCAGTCAGCTCCTTCTCATGTAAATGTAGATGTACTGTCCTCTGTTCTCTGGTGCAGTGGTGTTCAACCTTCTGTCCGTGTGGGCTGGATGAGTGATGTGGGGCTAGTTCACAGGCTGGATATCCCATGCAGGGATGGCAAAATGGGTCAGTCCATGAATGTGATCTGCTGTGGGCACTGGACCAACAACAAGCGCAACCTGATCTTGTGCATTAGATCTAACCACTCACCATTTCAGTCACTGCATTGAGTCCATCTATATGCTGACCTGACCCCACAGGCCATATCTGGCCATGTACTGACCCAACCCTACATGTTGGATCTGGCTGTATGCCAGCCTAATACTGGTCCCACAGCATGCCAACACTATCCAGCACGTAGGGCTGTGTCATCTGGCCCACAGGGCTTCTCATGGGTCCAGAAATTTGGAAGCATGGGAGCTGCTATTAATGCTGCCATCACTCCCCTGATGCCAAATTTTCAGACTCATGGGAAGACACATGAGCCTGATGATATGGCTTCACAGGCTGGAGGTTGAACACCCCAGGCTGGAGGTTGAACACCCCACAGATGGTCTGTGCTCTTCCTGGATGGAGTGGTAATGCTGCCAGAGGCCAGTACATCTGCAAGAAAGCCAATCAGTTAAAATG